ATTCTGTTTTGCTTGCAGAATAAAAAAAAGTCAGCAAGTTTTTGAGTTAAAATATTTTGTATTTAACATGAATATGTTATTCCTTAAAAGTGTAAATAAGTTATATAAACTTGCAATGTCTAAGATTTATTGTGCAATCAACCAAAACAAAGTGAATAATCTCAGCAAAAAAAAAAAACATGCGAAAGAAAGAAATCTAAGTATAAATTTGTATGATTAAAAAGATAGACATTCTGCCATCTCAAAATCTTGAAAAGATTCTTTTGAAAGGTTAATTGAAAAGAATTTACAATTGTGTTTTAAAGGTGCTATTAACAACTGCATGAATTCTAGGATGATATGGACTTTTGCTTTTATTTCAGGGACAGGGAGGGTTTTAATTGATGTTAAAACTTATTAGAATATCAGATGGATGTTGTAAATAGCTGAATATTCCCACCTGGCTTTTCAATACTTTGGGCTCAGAAAAAAAAGGTTATTTCTAATTAGCTAAGCAATCAGAAAATGCAACAGTACATTAATGATGTAAGATTTTAGAGGTTAAAAAAAAGAATGGGCAGCAGACAAAATAAATGGTAAGTGTCTAAAATACAAGACTTGTAAGTTTTGGAATCACCTCAGAAGATTAAGAAAAACATTCCATTATACTTTCAGCAAATGATCCACCATATGCTCAAGACTGAAACTATGGGAGGGCCTTATATATTTCAGGAATGACAAGAAATTTAGTACTGCAAATTATGTTATGAAAATAGGTAGGGATCTGAACTATAGAGGAACTTTATATATGGCAAATTAGAGTTTATATTTTATTCTGTAAGTATCAAAGTCAAAAGAAGTTCTTAGGCTGGGCATAGTGGCTCACCCTGTAATTCCAGCTAGCTACTTGGGAGGCAGAAATCAGGAGGATCATGGTTCAAGACTAGCCAGTGTAAAAAGTTAGCAGGACTCTATCTCCACTGAGTGCCAGATGGCTCATGCCTATAACCCTAGGTACTTGGGAGACTGAAATCTGGAGGATTGCCAGCCTGGTCAAAAAGTTAGTGAGATTGCACCTCAACCAATAGCAGCTATGTGGGAGGCTGAGATCAGGAGGGTCATGGTTCCAGGACAACCCACATGAAAAAATTCATGAACTCCCATCTCAGAGAAAAAAGCTGGGTGATGTTCTTCATGCCTATCATACCAGCTACCTGGGAATCTCAAGTAGGAGGATTGTGGTCCAGGCTGATCCAGGCAAAAATTTGAAACTCCAGCTCAAAAAAAACCACAACAAAAAGGATTAGGGAGGTGGCTCAAGTGGTTAAGGGACTGACTATCAAGAATGAGGTCCTTAGTTAGAACCCTAGTACTGCCAAAAAATGTTCTTAAATAAGGGTAACAAAATGAGTAATATGTTGAGAAGAAAAGTCTTATACAATGTTGAGCAGGTGAGGAGAGGTTAGTAAAATGATTATCAGATTACCACAGTATTCTCAGAAACAGGATGATGTGGTCTAGAAATAAATCTGGAATACAATGGGTAAAGATGTGGAATTAATTTTGGGGTCATACTCGGTATAGACTCAATAGTATTTGATGAATGTCTACATAAGGATTGGATATTGGGGAACAACAGTGAAAAAGAAGAAAAGAATAGAACTTCTGGTTTAGGAGACTAGGTAGATGATATGGTTTTAATAAAAATGAGGCTAATGAGGTAGTTTATATTTTAAAGCATTTGCACATATATCATTTCATTTAAGATAATATTTATAAGTTACCATTAATGCTTCCTAAAAGGTTAACTGCATATGAAGATATACAAAGTATTAGTTTTCTTAAATATTTTCTTACCTAGTGTTTTTCATTGATGTGATAAAAAGTGCTACTTATGTTATTTAGAGCCATATTTATTTTTAAATAGTTTTAGTAAGTGATATTTTCCTATTTAACTCCTGTATTTGATTTAAATATTTTTGTTGTTGGTTCTTATTAAGTATTTTAACTTTCAGTCTGAAACAAACCTTCAGTTCTCTTAGAGTATTTGTTCACCACACACATAATTTATTAAAAGAAGTAAAGAGAAAAACTTCTGTGTCACATTTCTGGTCTACCATGACACTTATGTGATGTTAAAACTATTAACATTTAAAAATAACTGTTGGCTGTTATGATGGCACTGTCTTCATGTTAATCCTACTTTAACATGATTAGTAAGAGCAAGTCTCTGCCTTAATATATAAAACCAAAGAAAATAAAACAAAAAAAAACCTTAAAATAATTCCAAGACATCAGAAATCCATTTGGATTATAGGGTATATTAATAGTATTGTCATTTTATTTTTTCTAATTAACTGGTGTATATGGTGGGAGGCACTGAGGATATGTAAAAATGAGTAAATCTTTGTCTTAGAGTTTAGTGGAGTGGACATGTAAAAATAACTCAATACAACATCTGTAATGTTCTTCAGTTAGAAATAAAGTAGAATAGGACCTCAGATAAGGATGTAAGAATTCTCCCTGGGGACTGGATATCACAGGGAAGAGGTAGAAATGCTTCCATAGTGCAGGAAACTTTGGTATAGAACCCTTTAATCTAGAATAGGAATTTGCCAGGTGGAGAAAGAGAAGGATGTAAAGAACATGCATGGAATAGCAAGAAAAAAAACTATTTTGGTTAGGCAGCATGGGGGCAGACTGAAAAAAAAAGATGAAGCAGAAAAAGGTAAGGTAGGGCTTTATCATAAGGATGTGGTATACCATGCTAAGGATAGTGGATATCAGGCATCCCAAGGTATCAAATGAACCCTTAACTCAGTTTATCTCACTAACTCAATAATTCTGTCAGGTCAATTCACTGTTATTCTTATTCATTGTTATAAGGGATGAAAATGCTTTCAAAAAAAGGGCAGGTAAAGTGATATAGAAATCTGTGACATTTGAAATGTCCCTTGAATTGTGGGTAAGATTTGAACAAGTCTTACATAAATTTTGTTTAGGATGAGTTGAAGATACAACTTTTTGCATTTCTCACTTATAACTGGTCCATTTTCAAGGAGGTGTTTTAAAAATTCAGGGAAATACCACATAAACAGTAGTTTTAATAGGCATTATTTGAGAACCCGCCCTGCACAAATAATATTGTTAATAAAAAAGAAAAAAAAACTTAAAAAGATTGGAGGTGGTAAGTCAGGGATATACTAAGTAGTGGGTTTTGTTATTATTTTTAAATACATGCTTAGTTTTTTAAAAATAGGCATTATTTGAAATGGCAGTGACCATTAATATTAAACACAGACTCTTTTTTTGGTTTTCATGGCTATATATTTCTTCATGATAGAGGAAAAAAAACTCTAAATGCTTCTATATATCTAACAGTGCCTTGAACATAATTTTCAAACAATTGTTGGATTAAGTTAGACACTTCTGGACTTCATTTGAATTTTAGTCCTTAAGCAATGAGTTGTTGTGATGGGGGAACTTAGAAACTAATATGTTCTTGGGCACACTAGCAAGATGAAGCAATAATCAAACACCAAGTTACAGATCAACCTAAAAATTGCAAAGCTATGGCATTTACTTTAAAGATAAACAATTTGCTCCTAGTAATACACCTTAGTCAGTCTGTATGGCTGATAACAACTGTAGAACAGATCACTCTGGAATAGAATGTGGATTTGTGGAAAATCTGACATAGAAAGGCAACAGAACCTAAGATACATAGAACTGGTGCTTGGAGACTTGCTGATGTGCAGTCTGAACATTCTTAGTGTTGATGAAGTGCTTATGCTGAAAAGGCTTTTTACAAACTCAAGTAAGCATTTTTCTGGAGGGATTTATACATTAAAGTCATATCAAATGTCTAGAATTGGAATCACAATATATCTTGAAGTATTTATAAGACAAGGGGTTGGTGAACATTTTATTACCTAAATAGTAGGTCTAACCATATATTGCCATAGGGATAATCCCATGGGTTCTGAAATCAGAATTCCTATTGCACATTATTATATTTAACATATTAAAATATTAGGAAATAAAACATACTTTGAAGTAGCCACCAAGAGTTTTTGGTTACTGAGCAGTAATTACATATTTCTTAATAAACATAAATAATAATAAACATTTTGAGATTATTTTCTTCTTTCTGATTATGGAATTTACAAAAAAAATCAGCATTGATTAGCCACCAAAAAGAAAGGATTCTCAAAGCAGAGGGGAAAAAAAAAAAGAAATCACGTTTTGAAAATTCATTATTACGTCCGAGTCGGAACTGGATTATTTATGCTTACACGGAATGAAGAAGTTCAAACATATAATACTGATCCCTAAGTAATTTTATTCAGAGTATCTGTGGAGAAAACCCCACAATTACACAAACAATAACTTTCCCTCAGATATTCAGATTATTAAGTACCAGGGCTGCCTTTTCCCAGCACCGCTTTGCTTTTCTTTTACAGTGAGGTGCAATCCGATTTGAAGGATCGCGGGGCTGATTTTGGAAGTTTCTGGACTGGCGCTGTCCGAGCGCCTCCAGTTTACCGCACGAGTCACCCGAGGGAGTAACTGAGGGGAAGCTGCTTCTGAGGGAAACATAGAATTTTAGAATGTTACCAGGAAAGCTGTTTCCACTCACACACGGCAAGGCGGAGATTCTAACTTCCCGGTTCGTTCTGCCAGCGGGAAGCCGTGACGCATTTGCACGGCTCACTCGCGGTCTAGGAACGAGGCGCCAAAGAGCGACAATTTAACGGCCCGGGTCGCTCGGGGCTGAGCGGAGAGGACCAATCCGGCAGGCGGGGGCGGGGCTTCTGGGATGGGCGGGCTTCGGACGTAGGAGGGGCGTGTGAGGGGCGGGCGTGGGGCGGGGCATCTGTGGTAAGAGAGCCGAGATTGATCTTGGGGGGCGTGTCAGGGGCGGGCCAGGGGCGGGCCAGGGGCGGGGCGGAGCGGCCTCGCGCCTCCTAAAAGGCTGGATCCTGGCAGGGACTTCGGACAGAGCACTTCGGTCGATGGTCATGTCCCTCACGTTCCCCTCGCTGCAGCCCGCAGATCCCGGGGGGCCTTCCTCAGCACCGCCTTCGGAGGACCTTGACTCCCAGCCGCCCGCTAGCAAACGGCCTCGTGTGGAGGAACCGGGCGGGGTCTCCGAGGCGGGGTGGCGTCTGCCTTTGGTGCCCGTTTGTCTGAGGTAGAAAAAGCCTGGGACTGGACGCCCAGACCCTTCAAGGAGTTCCTGATCTCGACGGACGCCAGTTTTGCGAACTCCACAGCCCCGGGTGTGGGGAAATCAGTCAGTGGGAAACGGATATGGGGGCTGGGCGGCCAGACCAGCCAGCTTCAGAAGAAAAGCCGGCAGAGTGTCCCCTCACAAAGCTCCGGCCCGGGCTCGAGGCCTGCAGCCGGGGCTGGGGTCCCGCTCCTGCGGGCCGGAGGGGTTTTCGGGGAGCACCGCAGTGACGGGGCGGGAGCAGCAACCAGGCAGCCCGGGCCCTCCATGGCCCGCCTGCACCGGGCCCCACGCGAGCGCGGGAAACCACGTCCAGTCCGCGGACGGGACGCTCGTTACCCAAGGCAGGCAGGAAATCCATTCTTAGATGTGACCTTCTACAAGGAAACCGAGTCAGTATTTCATGAAGTTAAGAACAGACGTAGAGTTGACAGCGCCGTGCCACCAAATAGACGAGAAGATAGTGTTTCATCATCTAGCCTAAAAATAACAAAATCTCAAAATCAGCCCAGCTTGGCAATTGCCAAACCCAGCTATTTTAGAGATAGCATCACAATAAGGATCCTTGAGTTTCCAAAGGATTTAAATAGCAACGTGTCCTTTGTCTATTTAAAGGAAATAGCAAAGAAAAAGAATGACAAATTTGAGGCATATGTTAGGGATCTCACAAACATTTATTGGTCCCAAAATAGACCTGATGTTAAGAAGCAAAAGTTACAGGGTGATAGAAAAATAGGAGCTGCGGAAAATATTTTTCCTGACTATGATGAAAATAACCACCTGTCACTCAGCAACCAGAACACTTTTGAGAGGAATAAAGGTTTGATCAGTTTAAGATACTATCATTACAATAGTATGGGGTGTGATATAAAAGACTCTAAAAAGAATTTCACTACTCCATTGGAAAATACAGGCCTGGACAGTGGCATGCCTATCGGGTGGGAAAAATCTCAAAGCTGGGACTGTAAGATTAGACATTTTTTGAAAAAGAATAGGCAAAATTGTTGGACTATCAAAAGTTACAAGACTAACTATAAAAATATGACAAAGATCAGAGAAAGATTGAGTTTGCCACAATTACTAGAAACAGCCCTTTTAAGCAAGGAAGATGACCATAATACAAAGCTCAGAATATGCATGAACAACAATCAAAGCCTCTGATGCTAGAAACCCTGAGTCGCCAAAACAATTTAATGGAAATTGTTTGGCTAAATAGTAAAGGAGAAAATTATAGTACGATACAGTTGACTTACTATACTACACAAAAAGACTTCCACTTAAGCAACATTTTTCAAAGTTTCATTACAGAAATTTTTTATTTCCATACAAGTTTTTCAGGAAATCAAAAAGATAACAGTATTTTAATCTGGCATAAAGTTTTCAAGTGTGTAAAGCAAACTGATGTGCAAAATCTAATAACCAGGAATATGAATGCCAGTGTAAAGATCCACATTTCAAGCAAATATGTACAAACTAGTGCCTCAGAATATTTAAATACCATTCTGAAAAGCAATATACCTTCTTTGCTAAATAACTTTGATTCTTTAATAAGAATTGAAAATGTTTCTCAATTAGAAGAAGGATGCATTTTCAAATGGGCAGTGCATTTGAATTATCAAAAAAATATAGTAGTGAAGAAACATACTGTATATCTAAAAAGGATCTTAACCTTTTCAAGACTACTAGAAGATAATAGGCCACCTATGTTAAAGAAAAGAAAGCTATTTGAAACTGAGCAAGTTCTTGAAGGGTCTAAGAAACGAAACATTGATTCCTTTAGTAAGAATACACATTTTCCAATTTTTGAAACATATAAAAAGTTTCCTCCTTTAAAGGATTTTGATAACATCAAAGAAATTAGTTTGATAAAGGAATCTGGTTATGAAAATACAAATTTCCCTGGACAAGTCATAAATGTGGAAAATTGGGCTCACTATAGTTTCAATACTGTTAAAACACATGTGAGATCTGGACATCAATTTACAAAAAATAATCATAAATATGTTAATGAAAAATTCTATGATATAAATATGCACAACCAAGATTCAGATACTGAAAGAAAACAGGAACACAATATAATCAGCTATCCTAATATTCAGTGCATATTTGAAGATTTTTTTAATATTAAGCAACAGGCCATACCCGCAAGCCGAAACTCAATGTATAGGGAACAGATCAATGCCATGGTTATATCTCAGATCCTAAGTTTTGAGCTCTTGCTCAAAAAGATAGAAGGGAAGAAAAAGTTTATTTTGAAGGAAGAAGTGAAAGCCACAGCACAAAGTTTAACAAATACTTCCCAAGTTCATAAAGACATTAAAATAAAAAAGGAAGAGAAAGATAGTTTTTTTACAGTGAATGACATGTGTTCTGTGCAGTCAATTTCATTAATGAGTAAGAAAGTAAATGTGGAAGAAACTAAATCTGTTAGTCAAAATAACAGAGCCGACAGAAATGAATATGAAAGTATTTTACAAGAAAGTGAGTTAGCTAATTCAAAGCCTTTTCATCCAAAGAATGACTCTACATTATACGTTAATCATCAATTTGAAACTGATTCAAGTAAAGGAAACAATGAATGTTTTCAGGACTTAACTGCTAAATGTTTATCAACAGAAGCTCTGACAATAGCAAAAGATTTGGAGATGAAGAGTAAATTTGATTTAGTACTTGAAGAACTCCATATGTTTCATAAAATTAGTAAGGAAAATGAAATTCCAAGCACTGTGGAAACAAACAATGGACAAGAAAATTACTTTGGGGAAAGTAATGATATTGAAGAGGCAAAAATGGAGATAGAAAAAGATTCAAAAATGGTCACAGCCAACAGAATATGCACATCTTCTTTGCCCTGTGATAAGATAGCAGGTCCTAAAATGCATAAAACACACCAAAGTTTATTTAAATGGAAAACAGTACCTGATACTGGAGAAGTTTCCAATAAATATTGCTGTCTCAGAAAATCAGAGAAAGAATTACTCTATTCCCCTTCTGAGGAAGGTATGTAATTCATTTTAAAATGCTCTTTTTAATGATAGAAATTTACTGGTTTTTTCTATGTAAGAAAAGCATATAATTTTGGCAAAAAGAAGATAAAGTAGAAGAGAAATGATTATTAATGTACACTATTTTTCCATGATGATTTACTCAAATGTTAGATAATATACTGAAGTTGTAGAAAATGTTTTCAAAGAGCTCTGAAGAATTCTACTTCATTTCTCTAAATATTAGGAGCCAACTGAAGGAAGTATTTGTGAAAAAATAATTTATAGTGTTAACATTTTTATATAAAAGTTACATTTTGCTATAACACATTGATATTTATTTTCAGATTGTAAAAACCCTTTACCTAAAAGGCCTGCTCTTTTTCCTGATGAATGTAAGGAAGAAAAATTTAATTATTTATTGAAGGGAGGTAAGAGCTAGTTATTTTCTGGAATGTCTTTTAAGATGGCTATCACATTCTTATAATTTTAGCATGCCAAAATTATTCATATGCTAGTAGAAAATAAATACAAAATTTTATACTTTTGAAAAAATTAATAATTTTCTGATACAAGTTCCAATAATTAGACATTGGTTAAAAATTAAAATGCTATTTAGAATATCACTGGTAAATACTCTGAAAAGCTATATTCAAATATTTGTTTTGATGTCTGGCAACAGCTGTGGGATAAGATAGGTGTCATATATGTCTAACACACACATTTCATATATGTAATATTAACTGTTAAAAAGAAACAATTTATCTGAGTTGGATTTGCACTATTGAGATATTACTCCCAATTATGCTTTACACTTTATACTTTTTATTGGTATTAGACCTCTTTCTATGGATAAATTTAACTAATTTATTATTATTTATTATTTGTTAACATGTTTTTGCCTATGATCATTATACTTTTGATTGCTGTGTGGCTTTTTTTTTTGTGATACTGGGGTTTGAACTCAAGGCCTACACTTTGAGTTACTTCACCAGCCCTTTTTTTGTAATTTTTTTTTTTTTCCAAGATAGGGTCTGGCAGACTATTTGCCCTAGGCTGGCTTTGAACAGTGATCCTCCTGATCTCTGTCTCCTGAGTAGCTAGGATTATAGGCATGAACCAGGGGCACCTGGTAGGATTACTGTTTTTAAAAAGAATAATTAAACAACTTCTCTTATCTTTTGTCTTAAAGCTCTATACTATTATAATATGTCTAATAGCCATTCTAACTTGGGTACCAATGGATGTGGGTAGGGATAAGGTTAATAATAGAAAACTAAGATAATAAGAACTTTCTGACATTATATAACAAAATTAGATTAAAACAGCATTGTAAGTAAAATACACTTAAGAAAGCATCTTCAGTGGTGCATCATCTGTCAAAACATTTTTCTGGACTTCTCATCACCAGTAGAATGCTGTTTCCAAGTGCATTGTTCCTTCGGAACTTACCTTTTCCTGATAGAGAATAGAGGATGATTAGGGAGCACATAGCCATGTTGTCATGTGTGTTATATGTTATATGCCTGCTAGCCAGTTCACCAGGTATTTTGTGTGTCATGTAGATCAATGCTTCCCTAACTTTAATGTACATGTGAATCACCTGAGAATCTTGTTAAGGATTTTTGTTTCAGCTGTGGAACACATTTTAAGATTCTGTGTTTTTAACAAGCTCCCAGTAGATGCAAATGATTCCAGTCTGTGAACCATATTTTGAATTTCAAGCATTTAGAAAACAATTGAGATAGCATTATTTGTAAAAGGCCACTAATAAATTTCATGGCATATTTTTTAATACCGACTTCCATAAAATGAACAATTTCTGGTAGCATGTGTGAATGTTTTGTCAGATTTAACATTGGCTCAATTACACTGATTTTAATGTCATGTACTATAATCTTAAGGTCATGCTAGTTCACTAATGTTTGACTTTGACTTTGCAAATGTGCTGTACAGTTTATTGTGGAGAGTGGATTATGGAAAGCCTATGAGAACTGGACACAAGCAAGGCAAGATGCAGTTAATTGCTTTTACCTGTAGCAGGAGCTAGGTACAGCCCCGGCCATGAAACAGAAAAAAGTAGAACAGCTGCATCTCCTAAGTTTGCATTCAGAGAAGCAGGAACACAGGTTTCTCCTGTTACAATGTCACACCCCTCCCCAAGAACATCTGCTCCACCCTGTTTGCCACTGTTTATAAAAGAAACCAGGTTTTTTGGGCTTTGGCTTTGGGCTTTTGCTTTGGGCTTTTTGGTGTGGGAAGCTTTTGGAAGGGAAAAGAATTGCTAAAGGGAAATTGCTGAAGGGAAAGGAATGGCTAAAGAGGGGTTGATAGAAAGTCTGCATGGAGAATTTTAACATAGGCTTTAGAAAGCTAAGCTAAAGAAAGAATGTTATACATAGGCCTTAGAAAAGCTAAGCTAAAGAAAAGCCAAAGAAAGAACTTTACAGTGCAAGTCTAAGGACCGAGACTTTAAGACTTATGCATATGGAATTTTTAGGTGGGCTGCTGTTGTTTGCAAGTCTGAGCACCTCAGCTTTAGAAAAGCTAAAGGGAGATCGGTCAGTGCAAGCCTGGGGGCAAAAGACTTTAAGAGTGATATGCTAGGGAATAGCTAAGAGAAAACATGGGACAGTGCAAGTCTATGGAAAGAAACAAGGTTTAAAGAAGACTTTAGAAGCAAGGTTTTAAAGAATTGCAAAGGAGTAAGGCTTTAAAGAATAAAGATAGAGAAAAGAAGCAATGAGTGTTGGACATCTCCACCCAAGCACTCAACACACCTGACCCCAGTTTCTGTCTGTCTGTCTGTCCTGTGACTTTTCTGAATCTCCATTCGCCCCTAGTTAGCTCTAGTTAGGTTCAGTAATAACCAGGAGTGAGAGAAAACTTGCTCTAACAAGGCAGGGAGCTAGAAAACAGTGCCCCCTCCAGTTTGTTTTTAAAAAAAGAACCCTCTGAAATTTGGGAACATTATTGTATTTATTATCAAAGGTAATACAACACATCTACCTGTGTAGTTAACTGAGTTAGTTGTAGGTGTGTCTCTGTGAACAGCTTTGAACCTCTTTGAAATGATCTAGTGTGGTGCTAAATAAAAACTTCAAAACCAGAGCCCTTCATTGCTATATTAACAGATGCAACACGTTTGAGCTCTATTATTGACAATAATCTCTGTTAAAAACCAAATGTAACCATTAACAATATGGCAGAGTTGGTTAGCTTCTAACTTATAAGTGACATGCTTAAAGCACTACTTGCCTTCACAACCTATTTAGTTCTGTTTTTGTTGTTGTTAAGTCAAACTGCCTGATTGTAATGCTGATTTTATTTAGCTGTTAGCTTATATTGAGTAAGTTTCTTTCTTTCTTTTTTTGGAGGTTCTGGAATTTTGAACTCAAGGCTTCTGCTCATTAGGCAGGTGCTTTGCTACTTGAGCCACTCTGCCAGCCTGCCAACCTTTTTTTTTTTTGCATTGTTTTTCTTTTTCTTTTTTCCTTCCTTCCTTTCTTCCTTCCTTCCTTCTTTCCTTCCTTCCTTCACTCTTTTCCTCTTTTCTCCCTCCCTCCCTCCATTGCTTCCCTCTCTCCATCCTTCCTCCTTTCCTCACTCCCTCCTTTCCTTCTTTTCTTTTTCCTTTTTTTGAGATAGGATCTTATGCCTGGGCCAGGCTGGAGTGTGATCTTCGTACTTGTGCATGTCTACTTAATGCATCACATTCAGCCATTTGTTGAGATAGGGTCTTGAGAAATTTTCCCCTGGGCTGGCCTAGAACCACAACCCTGATCTCTGCCCTTCAAGTAGCTAGGATTACAGGTGTGAGCAACAATGCATGGCCAAAGTTACTTCACTTTTCTGTGCTTAGGTTTCCATATTTTAAAACTATAAGATTAAGTGAAATCATGGATTTAAAGTTCTTGGCATACAAATTTAAAATGTACTGCAGATGTTAGTATTATGATTAGAAGCAAATGAAGATTTTTAAGCATATTGGTAATTTTTACTCCTTTATGGAATTTTAACTGTTTTTTGTTGTTGTTTTTAGGTGGTCAGTTTTCACATGGCATTTCAAGAGTACAACCTCTTAAGACATGCAACCGACCAATCAGGATTGGCTTGTCAAGAAAAGCTAGACTGAAACATCTTCATCCCTACTTGAAATAAATGAGTCCTGAGGAAGTAAAAGATTTTGGACTTTTGTATTTCAAAACATTTCACAATATCTAGAAATGTTTTATTTCTCTCTTTGGATAAATGTTTTCTTTCAGTTTGGAAATTTTGTACTTCATTATAAAGTGTGGGGAAATTATTTTGTATGTGAATTACCTAATTACCTTTAAAATTTAGAAAATATTATACTGGTGTTTTCATGTCATATGATCAATATACACATTAAAGTCTTTTCATGTTCTTATAAAACATGCCAACTGCTTATTTTTTATGATATCTGCATATGATCCTTTCGTAGAGAAGATTGATAACCTTTATAGGCTTTTTAAAAGGATTTGTGGCTCATAAAAGATAACAAAATACTGTTCTAATTAACCCTGCCTATTTTCTTCTCCCCCTCTTTCTCCCAAACTTATCACCTTCTCACATTGTAAGATGTGTCTTGCCTAGAAAACAAACTCCTTGAAGGCAGGATTGTTTTTTTTCTCCATTATTATTAATCAAGTGCTTAGACTAGTACCTGCCCTCCTGGTGAACAGTCGTAAGACACTGAGTATGAATGAATACTCTTCTGCTTTTGTTCTACATGGCTGTCTCTTTAGCATTCTTTCCCCCTCCCTTTTTTTTTAAACTGACTGTATGTTGAGAGGTTAAACTGTATGTACTTACATGTGCAACCTAATATTTGGGAGTACTCTATGTGCATTGTAGGATTGTTAAATGTCACTAAATGATTATATGCACTATCTCACAGCTACCATTTTTCTGGTAAGAATACTTGACATCCATTCCTAGCATTCTTTTTTTTATTGTTGTGCTGGGTGAGGATACATTGTGGCATTTATAATAGCTTTATGACCTTGGGCAAGTTCTCATTTCTGAAAAGGGGATAATAATACCTCACAATGTTATTGTCAGGATTAAATGAGCTAGCACTTATTATGTACTGGAAACAGCTCTGATACATAGTTAGTGCTCAGTAATGAACACCTATTTATAGATACATAGTAACTACTCAATAATTGGGAAGTTGCCTGGTTCCAGTGGCTCATTCTTGTAATCCTAGCTACTCCTGAGGATTATGTTTCCAAGCCAGCCCAGGCAAATAGTTCACCAGACTCTAAATTGAAAAAACCCAATATAAAAACAGGCTGGTAGAGTGACTCAAGTAGTAGAGTGCCTGCCTAGCAAGCGTGAGGCTCTGCGTTCAAACCCCAGTGCTGAAAAAAAAAAAATCTCCCTGCATCTTGCATTTAATTATTTTTAGAAATATGCTATTCCTTTGAGTTTATGAAAATGTTTATTTAATATTTTTTTCTACAAAAGTCCTTTTCTTTATTATTATAAGCCCCACATTGGATTTTTTCCTTTAACTTTATGCAAGGTAAATGATGTCACAAACAAGGTTTGTCTGCAGATATCTTGGTCCTTTCCCCTGTTCCCTGTTGCTGTTTGTGAATATTGAATTCTGTGATTCTATTTCTCCAGGGAAGGTTTATGTGCTTTCATTCTAACTCCTAGTCCCTAGATGGCTTCTCGGATACACAGCAGCTTGGTGTATAACCTCTGCTGGTTCTTTCTGAGAATGAGGTGACTTAATATGTGGTAAATTCAAATTCTGAGCACACCCCATATGTTTTTTTCTTTTTTGATGAGACTGGTATTTGAATTCAGGGCTTTGTGCTTTCAGAGCAGGCACTGTACTGCTTGAGCCAGGCTCCAGTCCATTTTACTTTGGCTATTTTGGAGATGGGAACTCTTGAACTCTTTGTCCTGGGTGGCCTGGAACCTGGATCCTCCAATCTGAGCCTCCCAAGTAGCTAGGATTACAGACATGAGCCATGGTTCCCACTGTTTTCTATACCACTGCTCATCACTACTTTGGTCTGTAGGTTTTTCTTATAGTCATCACACATCCCCAAAGGTCAAATGTATTGCTGGTAGTGTCACTGGTCTAGCTTCCCTTCCTCTACTACTTCATACCAAACACACACATACACACATACACACACAATGAGAGAGGCTACCTCCGCATTGCTGCCTAGTTCTGTGAGTTCTTTTCTTTGGAATTATAAAGGTGGAGGGTAGAAAAGTGGAAACACTTTAGTTCTTATGGTTTTGAGTCTTCATGGCCAGATTTGGAGAAGCCCCAGGGAAGCTGTGGTAGAAGACTTTAAATTGAAATTCACCTCCCTCCCCGACACACACTCTACCTTATTCTTTTTTGCCTTTGTTCTTAAAATGTCAAAGTTTGGTGTTTTCAGATCAGAAGAGAAATATTTAAAGGTTAAAAAAATCACCTCAAAAATACTTGCTTTTATTCAAACTTTGAATAAATCTGTTACTTTTGTTTAAAGTAATGAGTTTCTGAAGCATAATTGTGGCACTAGAGGGGAAGTAGAGGCTTATAGGAAGTCAACATGGAAAAGTTACATTGATAGTGTTAGGAAAAACGCAGCTCTCAAAGAAAGCTCACGAGAAAACTTATGTCTATAGAGCAAGGTTTAATGGCAGGCCCAAACTGCCAGGCTGGCCAGGGAAAAGATGGCGCAGCCCAGAGCCTGGGCGAGCAGTGGCTTTTATAGAAAGGGGACGGTAAGGAGGTTAGGGCATGCGCAGTAGTCTCTGGTAGGGGTGGGGCTGTCTTAGAGTGCAGGAATTTGTTTAAGGGAGGGGCTGCCATTTTGGCTGATTCACAAAATGGCGACATTATTGTTCTATCAGATAGTACCTTACGTATGTGAACTTTGGCACTAATAAGATCCATTAACCTTATTTAGTTAGATAAAATGGAAATAAAATATGCAGTGAAGTAGATCTTTAGTTCCATCTAAATTGCTGCATAAAAGAGTAATTATGGAGTTTATCATCAGTCAGAAATTTTTCTTATTATGTAGACATATATTTAGAGAAATATAGTTTATGGCAGAGTTTATATTACTAAAAATTTTTTTGGACTAAGGGGAATATTCAGTATCCTTCTGATATGTTTGTGTCAGAAGATACTACATTATATTCTTCCCAATTATTGGAAAAAAGTCATTATTTGATGCTATCCTTAAGTTGGTTTAATTTTGCTTTAAGACACAGGCATGTGCTATAACAAAACAAGAAATAGATTCTAATAAACTATTCCACCTATTTAACCTATGGGCAAAAGAATAAACTCGTGATCTAAAGCTCTCTGTAATTATATTTGTGAAACTTGTAAAAATTTTGTAATTTGGAGCACATTTAATTTTTAAAAAGAAGTCTTGTAGGACATGGTGGTGTATGCCTGTAAACTCAGTCACCCAGAAGATGGAGACAGGAGGATCCTGGCTCATGTTCAATCTGGGCAATGTGACTAAGAGAAGGTATGTCTTAAATATATCATGGTGAATAAACCTTTCTTTTTGTGGCATACAGCTCAGCTCACTTCTGGAATTTAAAGTTCTCTTCCTGTTCTTTGTTCTTCTATGTTACTATACTTCTCCTTGAATCAAATAAATGAAAACCCTTGGACATAGTTATGTGCATACTAAGTATAGTATATGAGATTTTAAAGTAATTTTGAAAACTAAATTACAAATGCACATTTCAAAATTCAATGTTCTATTTAAAGTCTTTAGAAATTAAATCAGTAGAATAAGTTTAAATTTTCTACTCACTGCTTTCCTTTGTGTCAGTCAAAATCAGGTGGAAGGTTTTCAAATTTTTCTCTATTTTTGCCTTTATATTTTATATTTCCCCTTTAAATAATCTTCAAAAAATTTAGCGATTCTTTCCTGAAAAGGTGATACTTCATCAGAGCCAGATTTGGTCCATCCATCATGGCTTGCAGCTTCAAGATGGCATGACCAGACATCCTTCCAGCTCTCCTGACCTCAGCCTGCCCATGGTGGGTGGGAGGGACCCATGGTGGTGGGGGAGGGTTTCTTAAAAGAATCTCCCAGCCCCTGCCTTCCCCTTCTCAGTTTGGTTCAGATCTTGAGCAGCCCCATGCAACTGTATTTTTTTTTTTGTGTGTGTGAAAAAACTCCCTTCTAAAGAAGTTTTTATTCTGCCTAATCATTTCATTGGTGGCTGAAAGATTTTAGAGAAACTTACTTTTTCAAGAAAAATATGAATTCACTGGGTGTGGAGGTGCACACTTATAAACACTAACACTTAAGAGGCTGTATAAACTTAACACAAGTTACAGGCCAGCCTGGGCTATATTAAGAAAAACAACAACAAACAAAAGGAATGAAAAATAAGAGTCCCCCCAAAAAAGATAGAAAAGCTGATACTTAAACATGATACTACAAAGGATTTAAAAAAAGGAAATAGTGAATATGTGAATATAAGGACTCTCTTTTTCTACACTTTGTTCTCCAATTTCCCTGTTGGAGAAGTAGTTATTAGCAGTTTCTTGCCCTTACATACTTCTATGAGATGTAATATTTTTGCTGTTAGTAAGCACATAGTATATTTTAGTTGTTGCTTATTTTGTTCCCTGTACTTTAAAAAATATGAATGTTTGCCATTGTATCTTATACTTACTTTTTCCTTAAATACTTATGTTCCTACAAACAGATTTGGTCATTACAGTATACTTAATAAATTTAATAGTTTCTGCATTTCAACATGTTAAATATTTAAAAAGAAAAATCTTTTTCACTGTTAGAGAAACTGAAACTTGAAAGGTCAAGTAGGTTTAGTGGACCTTACATTTTGAATACAATTTTATTAACTTTTAAAGTAATGTAAAAAATTTTGATTTTTAACTTTTTCAAATATTCTTAATATAACTTTAACAAAATGTTCATATTCTGATAAATGTAATTTTATCAACATGCTTAATTATATAGTCCCTATCATCTCCCTTTTCTTAAAACTCTGTGTGATTGATTCTGTTCCTTGGCTTTCTCTCATTTATTTCACTGGTCTAAATTCAATAGCTCTAATTCCTATGCACTTGTTTGCTAAACTTCCACCAGTTTGTCCGCACACCCCTCCTCCTGTCTTCCCAG